TGAACAATCTAACACAGCCTCAAGTTGAATGAAAACTCCATCAACATACTGTCAAAAGACAATAGATAGATAATCAATTTAGAATTCCTTTTGGATCAAACTCTATTTATTCTTCTCCTATTATAAAATCGCCTAAACAATAGATAAACTCTCTCCTTCTGAGGCTAACATGTTCAAACAATAACCCCCTCTGTCACATGACCAAGAAGCCAAAAGTAAACTTGAGCTCAATCTCACTAGTTTAAGCCCATTGCCTCCCTTTCACAGATCAGACTCATGCATAAAAAAAACTTTTCTCCAGCATAGCAGGGAAAAATTTTAAAAACTTTTTAAGCTAGTTCTTAAAGGTTAATATTTCCTCTCTTACGATTACTTATCCAAGAACAGATCTCGGTCGTATACAAATTTTTTGCAACGGATATTGACAGCGAAAAAAAGAATTACCAATATTCTCAAATAAAGTTTTTCTATCTATCATATCGCCGTGACATGCTACAAAGCCTATGCCTTGAAAAATAAGCATCCTAGTGTCCTACCTATCTCATGGTGTATAAGAACTATCTTTTAATTGATAAACGCATTTATAGACTTAGCGGAATTAGTATAAATCTTCGCCTTTCCCTATCTAAGTTCTATCAACAGCTCAGGCGTAAGCTTGAATTGAAATCAACTAGATGTACCCCTTGAGTTAAACTCTGACAGATCTGTAAAAAAAATCCAATAGAGCAGCAAAGAGCGATAGTTTCTGAATCAAGGCATGAGAGCTTTCTTTTTTGGTATGATGTTATCAGCCTAAAATGCAGCTCATTCTCCAATCTTAAAGCTGTCAATATCCTAATTATTCTGGGTAGCACCATTCTTAGCAATCCCAACATTTTCAATCAAGCAAACTACGTTATCATCAGAATACAACTCCCTTAGAAACGTGAATTACATTCCAAGCGAATATCAAGTGAAGATGATAGAAGCGAGTGTGAGTCAGATCTTACCTGATACCTGCGCAGTTCTGAGGGACGCCGTCATTAATGAAGCACAATCAGGCCCTTATTTGATGAAGAACTTGAATTTCTAGGCAAAGATCGGAGCAATTTCCAACTCTATCAGTTTCAATCATAATCCCCTTTTACTTTACATGCGTGAATAATTTAACTTCCACCACTCTTCTATTAGTTTCGGTTCAATTTGAAAAGCAGAAGCAAAGTAAGCTTAGACTGTCCTGAATATATTCCCTCATTTACTAGTATTCATAGTTCACAATTTAAAAAAAGAACCATGATTGTGATCACTTTGCAGTGTGCTAACCACCCAAATAGCGACAAAACTATTGCCAATCATTAAAGTGGGTGAGAAATCACTCACGCATTTGAGGGACTAATTCCAAAATATGAACATCTTGAGGGAGGAATCTTTAAATGTTTAACGATTTGAGAAGAATTAATTTAAATTTAACGGGAATATTGGCTCTCAAAATGCTTTAAAGATTTGAGGGACTAATTTCCAACTAATTATGAATATTTAACGGGAGTAATTCCATATCTTAAATATTTCAGCAGCACTAATTTTAAGTCTTTTATGAACCTTGTTTGAGCCGACTAAATCAAAAAATATGAACCATTTAAGGGAGCGAAATTTAAAAGCTGCATAAAGATTGAGCGAACTAGTCTTTAAATTTAATGTAGTAATTTGCAACAATGTTTATAGGATTTAAGCGACTCAATTTCAACTAATTATGGACAATTAACGCGGAGTCAATATTCCAAACCTCTAAAGCATTAGAGCACCTTAACTTTTAAGTGCAATGACGTATTTACAAAAATTTTTTAAAGGATTTGAGGGAAAACTGCCAAGCATTTATTAGTCTGACCTATTGACTAATATTAGTATTTGAGAGGATTGAACCGGCGACTTTTATTGACAAATTATTACCAAATTAGCATACCCACTGTAAAATGAAGCCACAAAAAATACACCATTGAAAGTCACGGCGGACTATTAGCTCCTGTATGAATTTTGCCCAGAATCATCACTACAAGGAATTGGTTTATTTGCTTAGACGTGCCCCACAAAAACGTGCATACAGTAAACGAGACTACATAGTCCTTGTGGATTTTGCCAAAATAAAATCCACGCGGCACTGGTAATCCGTCAAATTTCCTGCCGAAACACAACATTAGGTGTCACAAGCTCATCTCCAAAATCTCGTCTCCTGTGTACATAAGTACAGTGTGAAGTCAATTCCATGGGAGGAAGTAGACGCGAAGTACAATGCTTCCAAAAAAACAAACATGTTTTTCCTCAAAAATAGCTTTAATTCTTTTACTATCAACTACTTCATATGATTATTTCTGCTACAAAACAAGCTATGGCCCTAAGCCGGAAGTAATGAAATCGCCGTAATAGCATAGTCAAATAACTGAAAACTAGCTCATGCACATGAAGCCAATGATTTTACAAATTAAGTATAGTTTAGACCAGAAGAATTAGGGCTGAAATAAAAAAAGTATTATCCATTAGAAAGACCAACTTTGCGCTTACATAGGAAAAATCGCGACACAACAATGTTACGGAAGGTAAGTTATTCAAAAGCATTTACAGAATTTCATGAGCATATATGTAAACACTATTATTCTCGCAGCAACAACGATTGCCCAAGCTTAGGCCTAACTAAGAAAACCATTGTCTTTCAAAGGGCTAGGCTCAGCCTTCTTTGATTGTCTCTTCATTAGGACTGAACACTAGACCAAGATTTATCAGCTTTTTTGCTGCTGTCTTTGGTCGATACCTAGTCCATGCTGGGCTTTCTTCGAGTAAACCAGTAACAACAAACAAACTCAGTAGTCAGATTTGAATAACATCACTTGGCAGTTTGCATTATCAAAGGGAATATTCATTGTGGTACGCTCCATTATATCGGCGCGAGGACATGATAGCGGCAGCCGAATCATCACTGATCTGTCCACATTGCTTTACTCTAAACTAC